GCAACATCACAAATTTAAGGACAGCCTCAGCAATGCAGCCACTTATCGAGAACCTGGATGAAAATAAAAAGAATTTAAAATGTGGAAGGCCATGGAGCTAAGTGCAAATCTCAGTATTCAATCCATAGAAACTGAATGCAAAACAAAAACAAAAACAAAAACAAAAAAAAAAAAAAAAAAAGAAAAACTTGGAAAGTCCAACTGTAGCAAAAATAGTATTTTACACTGTCCTGGCCTTCTGGAGGGCAATGAGCTCCAAGTGGCATTAGATTTCACATTTTTCTTGTAGTTTGACTTCAAACAATCATCAAAATCCATGATGGATTAAAAAAAAAAAAAACCAGAATGTGCTTCAAGGACACCAAGTATCAGTCCCCGTGCAGAAGGCATTTGCAGTGATATTCTGAAGGGCATGATGAGCACAGTTACAAATCAGAGAAACTACCAACAGTGTTAATGGGATTTTCAATAGTACTGACTATGAAAAAACTGCCAGTTAGGAAATTGTTAGATGACTTTACTAGATCCACTCTTTCTGCAAAGTGTCTAAAGATCAAAGCCAAATATTTCATTCTATGAATGCACAAAATTACTGCTGATTACCAACTCAGGATAATACCTGCAATCCTAGTACTCTGGGAGAGGGAGGGAGATTGAGTAAGGAAAGGTTTAAGCCTGGCCTGGGAAACTCACAATCTTAGTGAGATCATGCTTTAAAATTTGTAAAAAACATTAACAAATTTTACAAATGTATCAAAATATAGATCATTAAGTAATCATTGTGCACAATGCAGTAGCCAATGTTATTCTCTCATTATTCTTCTGTATTTTAACCTTTTATAGACTTAACAATAGCATCTTTTATGTGGTCCTTATTAATATGTACTTGAGTTACATTAAAATAAGTCAAGAAAGTCTTTCCAAAATACAGTAATCCTTTGCTCAAATCCTATTTCCATATATAAAGTTAGTACAAAAATAAAAAGAACCATCAAGTTCTCTTTATACTATGCTACCAAATCCTAAGATTGTGTTTTCAGTAGCATATATACATTCATCTCAGTTAAAAGGTCAAAAATTTAAACAGTTCAACTTCTTGGCAGTAGATCAGTGTCTGCCTCATGGTAAACCTACCGCTCAGTGTGCTGACTAAAGTACATATGTAAGAAAAATTCACAAAGACTTGATTTGTTGCTTTATAGATGATTTTTGTGTCTTTTTAAACCTTTTTAAATGAATTTTTATTTTGATTGATTTATTTATTTTTGAGAGAGGATTTTGCTATGAAGTTTAGGCTTTCATTGAACTCACATTGTAGCCCAGGCTGACCTCAACTCACAGCAATCTTACTGCCTCAGCCTTGTAACTTCTGGCATTAGAGGTGTTTACTACCAAACCTGGCTCTTGTTTACTTTTTAAATTTTTTCCACAATTAAATTACCCAGGATTATGTGATATGTCATATTTTATCAGGTGAGTTATACAAAATGAAATCAGAAAGCACTGAAAATGCACTGAAGGAGACTCAAAATCCTCACCAACACTAAACATAGTGTAGCATAACATAACATAACACATTATAGCATAAAAACACAACAAAACAAAGCAAAACAAAATAAGAAAACAGGGTTGGAGGTTTAGTTCAGCAGTATAAGTGACCCCTTGGCAAACCTGAGCTCATAAGTTCAATCCTCAGTACCAAAAAGAAAACAGCCACCTAACTCTGATCTTAAAAAATGCTTGCAAGTGTACCTTAACAGTTTGTAAGCTAATCATACACATGACATATAATCTGGCAATTTCACATCTAAGTACTTTTTATTTGAAATAAAAGTCTATGTCCACTCAAGACCATGTATAAGAGTGGCTGTGGCAACTGGCTTTCCAGGGCCAACCCAGAAACAGAACAAATGGGATCAGTAGATTGGTGACAGATGCATGAACAAGTTGCAGTTGATGGGTTCAGCCCCATGAGAGTGTGTGGTGGCTCCACCACCAATAAGCAGCAGTATGTGGAGAGCCCAGCACAGAGATGCTGCTTGAAGGAGACCAACCAAGAGCATTGAGAGTGAACAGGATCAGCACCATCACCTCTAGGAAAGGCAACCTACCCAGCAGGGACACAAAGCCCATGGTCTGTTTGGGATGGGAGAACAGGAAGTGAAAACAGTGACTAGGAGACAAATTCCCCAGGAGGGATGCCCATGTGTCCTCATCAGCACGGGGTGATGAAGTCCACGGCCTTGCAAAGCCTCTCCTTGCCCTCACCACCTGCTGTCCTTCCTCAAAGGAGGTCAGAGTACAGAGCACTACAGTGTGTGGCTGAGGTAAACATGAGTAAAACTTGCTATGAATCCTTCTTTCCAGACACATCGTTGTTACAACATGAAACATTTCATATCCTTCAAGGAAAATTATTTTGGGCATTATGGGAACATCCCCATGCTCCTTAATGATAATGAAATGAAACTAATGTAAGTCCAGAAAAGACAGTCAAAATAAAATTTGAGAAATCTCTAAATGAAGAAACTGCATCTCATCCTCAAGGGAAAGGATTTTTGGATGGAAAAGTCTAAAAACACATACATTTTGCTAGTTTTTAACTTGCTCTTTCTAAGGAGGACATAGATTAGCTCACAATAAAAACAAAGGAGGCATCGGAGGGGGAGCCTCAACTGTGGACCCCAGCACATAACCTCACTTCCTTGGCGACAAGTCCAAACAGAACTCTGAAGGCTCTGGTCACCAGGCACTGTGGTCTGGTGATATTTCTCCTTCATAGATGGCTGGCTTGAGAGAGTGAACAAGGAACATGCTACACTGTTTTCCCAGGGTGTTATGGTTTGATAAGTAGTGGTCAACTTAATGCCAGCTGGATTACATCAGCATGCATTGAGAGAAGATGCTCCACCTGAGGAGGGATGCCACGATAAATAGGTGGAGAAGAAGAGAGGTGAGAGAGGGATTGAGGCGTTATGGAGGCATTGTTGGTTCTACTACGAGTTGCTGTCTGAGCTGTTGGTTCTCCTGGAGGAGGTTTGGTCTTCACATTGAGCATTGCTTCCTGGCTCCAGAGGGGAAGATATGTGCTGCCTGGTCTCCAGGATGAACTTGTCACACTACTTCCTGGCACGTACCTGACTGTGCTTGTCCTCACAGGAGCTCGTGGCCTCCGTGTAGCTAAGGACAGCTGTGGTGCCTTTCAGGACAGCCCCACTCTTTGTTGTGAGTGTGACTTCTGGGCTCCAGTGTAGAGCCCTCATCCCACTAGCACAGGTCCTTCATGCTGCTGGCATAGACTTTCTGGCTTCCACCACTGACCCTTGGGTCTTCCCAACACGAATTGGTAAAAGAGACTGGCGTGAGTCCTTGTGGGCTCTGGACTTCCAGTTGGACTCGTGGAGGCATTGTTCTGAGCTCTGGGTTTTTATCTGGACTCATTTGGGTAATTTACCTTTCCTACCTTTTCTGCATCACTGCAGTTATGTTTCTCCTCTGACTTACCCTGCTGTAAGTAACTGTTTAACAGTTATCCACAACTCCAACAACACAGATTATTTAGTCAAGAGTCTAAACAGTTGTGTGCATTCTCCTGTGTTGACTTCTGGTGACCATTATAAAAATATTATAAACTCCATGTCCTGATCTGAATTGTTCTCTGTGTACAACCCTTGACTACAACACAGGGCTAGTGGCCCCAGCATCAGGACCCCGTGTCAGGGAACCACGTGGGAACATATGAAGAGGATGGTACACTTGGTCCAGAGGCTTCAGGAAGCTCAACTGGAAACACCCAGCTGTCACCAGCTCAGGCCAGGACTCATTGGCACACAGAAGAACCCAGAAGTGCCCAGAGACAAGAGGAAGCCCAGAACACATATCCCTAGGCCCAACCACCAGCCACTCAGAGACAATGAGTCCATGACTAGTTCAGATACAGGCAAGTTAAGTTCTCACCTGAGCAGCCCTGTGGGACTTGGCCACCTGTGTATTCAAGTCCTGGCCATGTGCAAGCACCTCAGTCTCAGTTTACAACACTGAACTGTGGGGTGCTGAGTGGGTCCAGAGTGCAGGCTCACTGAGGATGAAATGGGGGCTACATGGCAAGGGATTTAGCTGTGGCCTTGGCCCCCTGAAGGCGAGGCTGTCCTGATTCCCAGGTATGACCTTCCACCCACCTCACTGACACACACACATGGGGAAAACTGTTCTGTTCTTTGGAAAGGAGATTGGAGAATCACTCTAGGGGTTTCAAGGTATGCTCAGGGCAGAGATTCTTAGGGATGGCAAAGTGTCCATGGCCCTCAGGTATCACTGGAAAGTGGGTGGGTGTCATCAAGCCAAAATACACATGAAGACATCCTGTGTGAAGACACTTTTCTGAGTATTGTTCATGATCTTGTAAGCAGAACAGGTGCAACCACTGCTCTTTTGAGTTTTGATGTTCTTTGGAGGCCACAGAGTCAGCATTGGCAGCAGAACAGATATTGATCACCTCAAGGGAGGCTTTCTGTGTCCAAGGCCTCCCTAAGAAGAGGTAACAGACCCTGTAGGAGGAGTTCTACAGAGACCAAGAGAACTGGGCAGCAGATCTTTGCCTGACCTAGACACTGCAGAAAGGCAGGATAGACATCGATGACCCCTCACTTCTCAGATATTCATGGAGCACCAGCCCTGAACCCTTGAGTGCAAAGACATGGCAGATATCAGTCTTTGCCTTTGTTGAGCTGACCTGCAGTGGGGAAGGGCAGGGAGAAACTGTGTCATGCTTCCCTAAAGAAGGGAGTGATATCATACCACGAAGCAAGGACTGCCTCCAACAGAGCATTCTGTCAGCCTCTCAAAGATCCCAAGACCCACACCACCACACTGTAGTTCGGAGAGGGTGGGAGTGGACACTGAACTTGCTGGTATAGAGACCCATGTGCCTCTCCCTAAGGTAACCTGTATAGGTAGTGTGAGAAGAGAGGCCAGACCTCTCACATTGCTACATCCCTGTTTGCTCCAGGTCCACATCTCCTGTCCTTTACTCCTCACTGGAGCTGAACTCCAAGATGGATTCCCAAGCCAAGCTTCTCATGGACCAGCTGGAGTCTGCTAAGGCCCTGGCACCTAAGTCACAGGGTAAGGAACCCTGGATGTGGGTTGTGGCCTTGAGAGGAGGGATGTGCTAGGGAACTCAGCAATGTGCCCAGATGATGGGAGACACAGGAACATGATCCCCCAGCAGCCAGTGTGGTGATGCAGTATGGGAGGCTTTACTGGGGCTGTGTTCATGCACATAGCTGCCTTTGATAGGCAGTGGGAAGGTTTGGTCCTGAGAAGTCCCTGGAAACTCAGTAATGTTTTGTTCTCCTGCAACTGCAGAGGCAAATCCAGTGCATGCTGAATTTGCACCCACAGAGCTTGTGCCATCTCCACCTGCAGCTCCCTCACCAGCTCTGACCCCACAGCAAGGGCAGGCACATTTCCCTTTCTCCGCCAGCTGCAGAGCTGGATCTCCTGGTGGCTCCCCAGCAGGAGTCATCTCTTGACCTCTACCTGCAGGCAGCTCTTGACCCACTCCTGCCATTCCCCTCTCTTCCAGATTTCCTTATTATTCTATATATTATTCAATTCTGGGCTGCCAGTGGTTGAATCATTGTAAATGAAATTTAAGGGTTTATTCTTGTTTCAGTTGATGAGTTTGGTATGATTTAGTGCATTCTCCATATTGTGAAACCTTCACCAGTGTCCTCTTCCAGAACATTTTCATCAACTCACTACACAAATATATTTTCTTTTATTTTCCTTCCTACTATATCCTGGCCACCACTCATCCTATGTCCTTGTAATTTACCTTTCCTACCTTTTCTGCATCACTGCAGTTACGTTTCTCCTCTGCCTTACCCTGCTGTAAGTAACTGTTTAATCTCGCCTTATCTGAGAAGAGAAAATCCAGACAGACTGCATCAATTTCTCATGCACGTATTCATGGACTCTTGGCAGGGCATAGAAAAAGAATTCAGGAATTTTTTTGTAATTCTTAGGATTCTTTGTTTTCTTAATTATGTTCCTGGCTTTATAGACATATACACATCAAAACTGCTCCACGTTTAATTACATGTAGGTCATTTCATGTCTATTTCATATAAAAGAGACTAACACACTTTCTTTTGTTACAGAGCAGCACCACGGGAGTGTCACATCCATGTTTATACTTTAGAGATTTCCAATGATAAATTATTAATTTTAGTTTATGAGTGCTTAACAGGAAAAAAATCACAAAAGTAAAGTATTGTAGTTGTAATGCAACCATTAAAATGTGAGGCACTGTGTGTTCCAAAGAAAGTCTATAACCCAGTATAGAAAGTGCAGTGTCACTGGCAGCATGTCCATTGAATTCCCCTGTGGCTTATCTCCATGCAATGTCATGAATATGGCTGCATATGTCCTCTTCTCTGGACAGAGTAAATTTGCATAAAGTCTGGCTCAGCATGTCACCACCTATAAGTTTTAGTTCTTACCCAGTTCAGTCAAAGAACAAGACACATGAACACAGCCCACTTAAGAATGGGCTGTGTTCATAAGAAAAGAAACATAATGGTCAAGGAGGCAAACAAGCTGGAGAAATGAGCACTGGGAAACAGCAGAGGCATCAACTCCCAGGTAGTAAAAACCAGGCCAGAACTCGAATCCACCAGGCTCCTGGCCAGGCTGGGGTAGATGGTGGGGAACCAAGACCTCTCTGTGACTCCTCAGGGGCTAGGGTGCGGTCTTCAATCACAGATCTGCTGTGTCATGGTGTAAACCCCTGCAGCCTTCACAGAGGCCAGCTGATTGGTTGCTCCAAGCTATAAATGCTCCAGTTGAATTTATTCCCCCAATTCCTGGCTGCACTGTGCTGCCACTGGGGGCTGGGCAGCAGGAGAGTTTAGATCACTGATTCAGCAGCCACTAGGTTTCCCACAAAGAAATAGCTGAGCACGTGGGTGTCCCAGTATGAGTTAAGGTGTAAGTCCTTAATTCAATGGATGATAGAAAGTTTTCCCATGGTCTTATAATTTCCCATGGTCCATATAATTACATCACAAGTGCAAATCACTCAGGTCTCATTCATCACTGACACTTTCTCTCACTCACAGATGTGGCCTTTCAGTTTTACTGTATACTGATAGACATTTGCCCTATCTCATCACATTTATGCTTAGTCACCATGCTCAACAGGAGAGAATTTGTCAGTCTGAGCCATGAGATGCTGAGGGCAGAGTAACATGTTTTTTGATCAATACTATTTTCAGCATGCATAATACTTTTAGACCAAGTGAGTATGAAACTCACAGTGGTGATAATAAGGAAAAATTAAAAGTGCAAGATGCTGTAAGAAAATGAGAAAAAGCAGTGTGAAACTCACTAGCGCAAAAGAAGAGTAAAATTGCATTTTACCTAGAGTTGTTTGAATAACACAAATAGGTTACCCAGACAATGTTAATATAGTATTGATGGCAGAAACAGTAGTTTGAAGCAAAGGCGAGGGTCTGCTGACCATAGAGACATAGCATTGTTACACACTGTATAAATGTAAACTAAAAAGGAGAAGAGAGGCTCTGAGAAACTTATCCCTCTTGTGTTTGTAAAAGTTAGTAACATGTTGCAGAACCACTTAGGTTCAAGGTTGATTCTAGATGGAATAAGAGGATCCTATAGTTGAATTTCCATGAGTTCAGATAGGCCTATAGAGTTGTAATAATTGATTATTGGGAACTCAGATTGTGCATCCTACATTTTTTTCACATCAACAAAACCAGTAAAAGATATGGGAGACTTCAAATTATATTTTTTTTCAGAACAGAACAATTTAAGCAACACAGTATTTCACCACAAGACAACCCCATATATCAGTAGCTACCATAATTTCCCTTTCCTTGAAATAGTTGAGTATACCTTCATATACAATAATATCAAACATAACAAAATGATATAAAAAAGTTAAAGAGAATGAAATTATTACAGGACATTCAAAACCAAATAACAGAAAATGGAAAATTGTTACTATATTATTTCTATATTTATAAAATATTTGTTTATACTATCACACATAATAAAATCCAATTAGATAAAACATGATATAACCAATGGAAACAGAAGAACAAAACATGGAAGCACTTCAAAGCAAGATGATATTAAATTAGCATTGGTTATTATAATGTCTTATGTTCTTAAATTTAGCTGTTCATACCATCACAAATAATAAAATCCAACAACCCAGGATAAAATCATTACAACTAATCAATGGGAACATTATAAGTGTCCAAAGCAATGTAATGGGGAATCATGATTACCATAAACTCTTATGTACTCTTATTGGTTCTTACACTAGGGAGAGCATACAGTATTTGTTCATGTGTGTTTGATTTATTTCACGTATGAGTAAGGTTTCAAGTTGCATCCACTTATTTATAAATATCTCAATGTGATCATTCTTTATAGCTGAGTAGGACTCCATTGAATTAATATACCACGGATTTTTATACATTCCTCAGTTTACAAACACTTAGGCTGTTTCCAAGATCCGGCTGCTAAAAAAATTGTGCTGCTATAAAAATGGATGTACATATATCACTGAGGTATGATGCTTTCAGTTCTTCTGGGAATAGGCCTAGGAGTGGAATAGCTGGATCAAGTATTACTTCCTGTCTGTTTTTTGAGAAATCTCCATACTGACCCAAAATGGTTTCACCAGTTTAAACTCCCATAAACAGTGCAGGAGAGTTCCATTTTCCCCACAGCCTCTCTAGCATTTGTTGTTGATAATTTTTTTGATCCTGGCCATTCTTTCTGGAGTGAGATGGAATCACAGTGTGGTTTTAATTTGCATTTCTCTAATGAGTAATCATGATGAACATTTTTTCATGTATTTATTTGCCAATTGTATTTCTTCTTCTGAGAATTGTGTGTTCATCTCAAATGCTATTTTTGGATTAGATCTTTGAATTTTGGGAGTCTGATTTTTTTTAATTCTTTACATGTTTTAGACAGAAATCCTTTGTCTGAGGGCTGGTTCACTAAGATTTTTTCCCCAGTTTGTGGTTTCTTTTTTTTTCACTATGCTGGAAATTTCTTTTGACAAGCACAAGCTTTTTAATAAGATGTGATCCCAGTTGTTGATTCTGGGAAATATTAACCATGTGGTTAGATTACTGTTCATGAATTCTCTACCAACTCTAATATCTTCAAGAATTGTACCCTATTTATCTTCCAACAGATTTAGTGTTTCTGTTATATTACTCATATCTTGGATCCACTTACGTTTTAGTTTAGTACATGGTGATTTGCATGGGTCTATTTTTAGTTTTTGGCCTATGGTAAGCCAGTTATTCAAGCACAATTGATTAAAGAGGCTGTGGTTCTTCCAGTGAACATGTTTGGCCCCTTTATGAAATATAAGATGGTTGAGTTTGTTTGTAGTTGTGGTCGTATTTTCTAATTTTTTCCATTGATATTCAGAACTGTTTTTATTCCAATACCATGTTGATTTTATTATAATTGCTTAGCAGCATAAGTTCTACTCAGGGATTGTGATGCCTCCTGCCTTTACTTTGCTGTTTAGAATTATCTTTGCTATTCTAGGTTTCTTGTGGTTCCAGAATAATTTTAAGATTGATTTCTCTAGATCTGTCAGGTATGTTGATGCTATGTTCTTTGGGATTGCAGTGAATCTCTATAAAAGTTTTGAGAGAAAGGCCATTTTCAAAATATATATTCTTAACATGCATTGAACAAGCAATGTCTTTCCATTTTCCGAGATTCTCTTTGATGTATTTTTCAGGATATTAATTTTCCTTATATAGTTTTTTTTTTACTTCTTTCGTGAGATTAATTCCAAAGTATTTCATTTTTTGGAGTGGTAGTGTGAAAGGTGTGGCTTCTCCTATTTCTCTCTCAATAATTTTCTTGTTAGTGTATAGGAATGCTATTGATTTTTGAGTATTGACTTTGTATCCAGCTACTTCACTGAATTTATTGTATCTAGGAGACTTCCAATGGAATTTTAAGGGTCTTCTATGTAGAGTATCATGTCATCTGCAAACAATAATAATTTATCTTCCTCTTTTCCTGTCTTGACCCCTTTAATTCTGTCTATT